TCAGTGGCGGCCCGTGACATTTCATTTTGGTGAGGCAGAGGGTTTCGCCCTCAGTTAAAGGCGAAGAAATTAAAAAAAAAACTGACGTCGCAGTTCACAGCCTATACTTAAAACTAAGTAAAAAACTTAGACTGTGGCCATTACTTCTCAAGCTGCCTATACACAAAATCCAAAAAACTACACAGCGCTGTCATGGTTGAACGTTTTTCTGTTAAGTCATGTTAAGATTGGGCTAAAATATAATTGCATTTTAAAAATGAGACAATTCTTTAAAAAATAACCTATTCCAATATTTTTGAAATTACTGGAAGCAATGAAATTGGCCTATAATTATTAATATCCTTTTGATTACCCTTTCTAAATAAACATATAACTTTTGAAATTTTTAAACAATCAGGAAAAATAGCTTTATGCAGGCATAAGTTGATTAAATAGCAAAGAGGTTTGACTAAATATAAAGAACAATGTTTTAATAAATTTGTTATCATAACCAGTGGAATGCGAGTTTTTTTAGACTAAGCAATATGTAATTGATTTTAGTCGGTGTGACATTAGATAAATAAATGGTTTTATTAACAAAAGTTATTTGAACAGCAGTATTTATAAAATTTTAATTGTTATTTAGCAATTTTTTAGGAATATTTATAAAGTGATCTTTAAATTGTTTAGTTATTTCAGTAGGATTTATAATTTCTTTTCCATTTATAGTGATACTTGATATTTTAATTTCACGGTCAGTATTTTTAACAGTAGAATTTATTAAGTTCCAAACAAGTTTTGTTTTGTTACTGGAGTTCACGATTTATTTATCATAATACATTTTTTTTGGCTAAACGTAAGACTTTGGTATGAATTGAATTTGATCTAAGTAAGTTATGTAATATTTTTAATGTTTGTGATGATTTTTTTATTCCAGATGTAATCCATTTATTATCTTTAAGTACATTTATTCTTTTTTTAGATATAATAGGAAAACTTATATTATGATAATATTCTAATGTGTTTATACACTGAAAAAACAAATCTGTTTTATCAACCAATAAATTTTTTGTTGCAATTGTTCTTGTTGGTCCTAATAAAAAATTTGTTAACCCAAGTAAAGTGTTTAATACATTAGTATCAGCGGCGTAACTAGAAAAAGTGCCGCCCGGGGCAGCAGTGGCTGTCGCCCTCATGTTTTTTTTGGGGGGGGAAGAGAAGTTAGGTTAGGAGTCAGTTTTGAGGACCGTACGCAAAATTAAAAATATATAATTATACAGGGTGTCCTGAAATTAGTGCACCATACTTTAACAGCAGATTCTACGTGTAAAAATAAGAAAAAAGTCCCTATAAATATAGGTCGAGAAATGCCTCCTAAGGGAGCTACAGCCCCCGAAAAGGGAGCCCCTGAAGATGGTTTTTATCTAATATAAATAAAAAAGTAAAAACACCCTGTCACTTACTACATGAAACTTGAGTAAAAAACATTGGCGGTTCGAACGGGCCTCTCAAAACCGTACTCTTTTCAGGGGCGTTGAAGTTGAGGAGAAAAACACCCGCCACCCCTTCAAAACCTCCACCAATTATGAGGAAAAAAATCTCTTTCTGGCACAAAACACAGCTCATTATGAGTAGAAAATGCTTACAAAAGCCGTTCATTGTACGACAAACGGTTCCAGAGATAATCCAAAAAAACGACTTTCTTTTCTAAAATTTCAAGTCCTGCGCATATATTATGAAACACCCTGTATATAACATATATATATAACATTAAATTGTAATATTTTAAGAATTAAAAACAAACAAAAATTCTTAGACCTAGGTAAAGAAAAACAACTATTTTTTGCTAGCTTTATTTGATTTGGAATATTTTGGGAGTAATTGTATAAATCTCAAATCTATTGGAATTTGAATTATATTATTTCGAAAGAGAATATTTAATTATCAAATATTTTTTTTATTTTTATATTCTGTCTTCCAGTTTTTTTCGCATTTTCTCTCACGATTTTTGCCGCCCCAAGAAGTGCCGCCCGGGATTTTTACTCCCGCTATTAGAGTGTGCGCGTATAGCTTGACCAATGCAAGAAACGTAAACTTTCTGCCGTGAAATCGGGGACGAAACAACGTATTTTGAGTCGAGGTAGTAAGAAAAAATTATTTTTTGGTGATTAAAAGAACTACCAACTGTTATAACAACAAAGCAACAATGTTGTAGTTACTCATTACCATAGCTTTTCCAACAAATGATTTTGTATGAGATACCAATAATATTAGTTACTTTAAACAAGATGCCATAGTTTTGTCAACAAAAAATATTAGTTACTGTAACATATTATGTCTCAACAAAAAAAATTTGTTTTTGTAACAAAGATTTTAGTTGAGGCTATAGCTACAAATAAAATTTGTTGGCGCAACATTTTTTTAGTTGCTTAAACAAATTATTTTTTTCAGTGTAATATTTTGAAATTGAGTGTGTACATGATTATTGTCATTGTTTAAATCATTTAAACACTCCCAACTTTCACGATTAAGGTAATTTTTAAATCGCTGTGGCTCCCGTCCCGAGGCGGGACTTAAGTTCAGTCCCGATTGACGTCATAATTTTAAGATTTGTTAAAATAATAATAATAAATTGTACCTGTATACATGTTAAGGGCACTTTAGTTACGTCATAAAACCAAACCAACCCAAACTCAACAACACAACCCAACCGACCCCGCCCCATTGGGCCCCCCCCCGCCCCATTGAGCAAAAAACCCAACTAAAATGGGCAAATTTATGTTACGATAAAAATAAAACACTTTTTAACAAAGAAACAACAAATTTATAAAATAAAAAAAATAAAAAAAGTTTGACTTCTAGTGGGATCGAACCCGGTACCTCTCGCATGCCAAGCGACCGCCCTATAGTCCAGTCATCTTAGTAGTTTCACCTCGGAATATGAGATACCAAGCTGTATATTTGTATAAACTTTTATTTTGACATCCTAAAACTTGCCTCAAAACCTACATACTGTAGGGTGTCCGCATCTGTCAAAAATTAAGGTCAAAGGTCACAAAAATCGATTTTTTTTAACATTTTCTGCAAATATCTCGTTTCCTATGGGATTTACGCGATTTGTATTTATTATCAATATTATAGAAGATAAAATTCTTTACAACTTTTGTTTAAAAAGTTTTTTTATACCTGGAATCGTTTTTGAGATAGAGGACAGTGAGCGCGCAGTGTTGAACTATATAGAGTACCATTTAAGGTCAACCGGAAGGCCCGATCAAAAACATGCCTTAAACAGTTTATAAAATGTTGAGAAATATATAATTATAAATAATTTTAATTTTTTTAAATATTACATTATAGTTAATAACTTTTTTCATGATGTATCTATTGTTAATTAAGTATCAGTGTATTTAATCGCACTTACCTGGTTGTGTACTTAAAAATTACTAAGAGAAATACCTAAATTTTTTGTAATGTTAATCAATGCTCGGCCATTCCAAGCCCATGGACAGGACACATCAGAAACATGTCTAATTATATTCTTGTTACTTCCTTAAGTTTACTTATTTTTTCTACGAGTATTTATGAGAAGTATTAGCCAAATTTGGATAATACTTCTCATAAATACTCGTAGAAAAAATAAGTAAACTTAAGGAAGTAACAAGAATATATTTAGACATGTTTCTGATGTGTCCTGTCCAAGGGCTTGGAATGGTCGTGCTATACTAATTACTTAAATAAGTAAAAATGAAGAAATGAAATAAATTTCTAATTAACTTTTTTATTAAAAAATTTTCAATCAGTAAAAACTAAAAAAAAAGAATAATTATTCAAACAACGACAAACTCTGATTTTAATTCTCTTCTTCTTCCTCATTATCATTGTCTTCCAGTTGAATTTCAACTTCTTCATCTTCGCCACCATCTATATAGTTAAACACTGCGCGCTCACTGCCCTCTATCTCAAAAAGGATTCGAGGTATAAAAAAACTTTTTAAACAAAAGTTGTATAGAATTTTATCTTCTATAATATTGATAATAAATACAAATCGCGTAAACCCCATAGGAAACGAGATATTTGCAGAAAATGTTAAAAAAATCGATTTTTGTGACCTTTGACCTTACTTTTTGACAGATGCGGACACCTTACAGTATGTAGGTTTTGAGGCAAGTTTTAGGATGTCAAAATAAAAGTTTATACAAATATACAGCTTGGTATCTCAAATTCCGAGATTCTTACCTTATTTTGACTAAGATGACTGGACTACTACCATCTAAGCCATCGAGCTTGACACAAATTATAAAATCTCGGGGAATAAAAACGGATTTACAGTGTGTGACGTCAATCGGGACTGAACTTAAGTCCCGCCTCGGGACGGGAGCCACATCGTTTTTAAATATATCCAAGTTTTTTGCTGAATATGATCTTGACTTATAGGTAAATTGTGTACATTTAGGGGTGACTTTAAAGTAGATACATTGCGCTGTATGATCAGATAACCCATTATGTATTATCCTGCTATTCAAAAGGCAATCATTAAAATTTGTACAAATATAATCTATAGCAGTCTTTGATGTTTTGGTAAATCTAGTTGGTTCATTAAAAACGTTATAGATATTATAAGAACTTAATAAATCTGTTAACTTAATTTTAATATTATCATTATTAAGGAAATTAATATTCAGATCACAACAAATTACAATGGAAGAAAAGGGATATTTTTTATAAATTAAATTAATTGTTTTATCCAACTTTAGAAAAAGTTGTTGAATATCTCCCGTGGGAGATCTATATATACAAACAACAGTCAAAGATTTACTTTCCAAAGTATAATTTACTGCAATACATTCAAAAACCTTTTCAATGTTTAGATAATTTAAATCCAATATTTTAAAACTAGAGATACACTGCTTTCCCAAAATTATAACACCACCATGCAGGAACAAATTTATACAATAGGATTGCCATATTTTATAACCATCTATACACTTTAAATCATTTTCACAACACCAACTCTCACTTACACATAAGATGTCAATATTTTCCTCCAGCAAACATACTTTAAGCTCCTCAATTTTATTTTTAATACACTGCATGTTTTGCTGCACAATTTTAATTACACAAGATTTATTATCAAACTTTGAATGCTATGACAAAAGATATTATCTTTGGCTATGACTCCTCATCTCCATATTTAGTTTTTGACTTTTTTGACTATTGCACTTGTTTAAGATACATCGGATAAGAATTTTGTTTTGAAGAATGATTGACACTTAAATTTAATTTATAGCGAGCATTATGATTTACACAATTTATACATTTAGCACTATCATTTTTACAGTCTTGTATTTTGTGATTTGAGGCACATATTGGACATGAAGGCTCTGATTTTTTGCAATCCTTCTCCACATGACCATATTGGGAACACTTGTAACACCGAGTAACATTTAAAGACTCAAAAACTTTACATTTTTTCCATTCCACATATAGGTAGCCCATTTCAAGAATCTTTTTTAAAAGTTGAGGTGAGACTTCAGCTATTGGGTTGACAGAATTGGTATTACTGTACTTGATCTTATGAACAATTTTAAAGTGATTATTATTTAATTCATTTAGGTTATTTATTTTAAGAATATCTTGGCATAATTGTTCATTTGTTTTATCAGTTACATCAGTTTTATAAATTTTTATTCTGAGATTAAATTTTTCCGGTATTGAAACTGTGAAGTCTTCTCCCGCGCAACGTTTTATATTTGCTTTAATTTTTTGCATACTTTCAGTATTTTCACATTTAAAAATCATTTTAGTATTAGATTTTTTAATTTTGTTATACTTGGACCAAGATCGGTAGGGTTTATATTTGTTTTAAAATTCTTGATATTCGATACCTCATTTTTTGCTTCGACTGTAAGAACTGCTGTAGGCATCTTTTTTGCAGCATCGCTGAATGTTGAAATTTACGTTATCATTTATATTAAAAGATTTTAATTTATTACTATTTTCGGTAGTTAATAATTTTATAAGTTCTAAGATACTTTCCTTAATTGTCGACAATTCTTCTCTAAGATGGGATATTTCTTCTTTTAACTTAAGTGTAGAATTATCTACGATTTTTTCTATTAAATCATGAAACTCATCACTTTTTAGAAACTTTACAGTTTCACTTGTATTTCTAGTGGCCATTTTGGCCCTTATAAATATTTTTTAAACACTTGTTTAAACAGTTTTGATTACTAAACATAAGCACAAATTTTATACAATCGTAACGTACGATCGCACATACGCGTATGACGTACTATAATTCTTTGCTATAGTACATAGTACACCGACATAAAATTATAGTAGAAATACTACAATAATTCGCCTTTTACTTTTATATGAAATAAGCTTTACAGTGTAGTTCGCCTAACCTTAAACCATAGAATGTCCCCTTACGTACGCGCAGTTGTGGTCGTGAAAGATGTCGTCATTATGACGTTTTCGGCGTATAAAGCAGAATCTTATCGGCTTCTCCTGATTTGAAGTTCCTGCTGACTCCTGCGAACAAATAAACCACTTAAATAACCTTAAAAGGTTCTTTTTTGCAAGTTCAATGTTGCCATTTTGGCCCTTATAAATATTTTTTAAACACTTGTTTAAACAGTTTTGATTACTAAACATAAGCACAAATTTTATTTAACCATAACGTACGATCGCACATACGCGTATGACGTACTATAATTCTTTGCTATAGTACATAGTACACCGACATAAAATTATAGTAGAAATACTACAATAATTCGCCTTTTACTTTTATATGAAATAAGCTTTACAGTGTAGTTCGCCTAACCTTAAACCATAGAATGTCCCCTTACGTACGCGCAGTTGTGGTCGTGAAAGATGTCGTCATTATGACGTTTTCGGCGTATAAAGCAGAATCTTATCGGCTTCTCCTGATTTGAGGTTCCTGCTGCCTCCTGCAAACAAATAAACCACTTAAATAACCTTAAAAGGTTCTTTTTTGCAAGTTCAATGTGGCCATTTTGGCCCTTATAAATATTTTTTAAACACTTGTTTAAACAGTTTTGATTACTAAACATAAGCACAAATTTTATACAACCGTAACGTTCGATCGCACATACGCGTATGACGTACTATAATTCTTTGCTATAGTACATAGTACACCGACATAAAATTATAGTAGAAATACTACAATTATTCGCCTTTTACTTTTATATGAAATAAGCTTTACAGTGTCCCAGTAAACATTCGTGAATTCACAATGGATTCACATGAAGGCATTTTCAATTCATTTCACTTCATCGTGGATTCAGGGTGCCCTCAGATGACGACAAAATATGAAGTCACTGTGAATTCATATGGATTCATTTTACGTTCATATGAATTCACGAGTGGATTTCGGATGAACCTATATGAATTCACCGTGACTTCATAAATTAAGGGTATCTGAAGGTACTGTGAACCTAGTATATATAGTATATACTATATAGATTTATACAAAAGTGTATAATTATTACTATTTTTAGTAAATATTAATATAGAGTAATAATAATTATTATAATAATAGTAATAATTATATACTTCTGCATTATTAATAATGCAAAAGTATAAAAAAAACATATTTTGATAAAAAAATAAACATAAATTCTTAATAAGAAATAAAAAATTATAAAAAAATAAAAATATTACATAAATATGTATATAAATAAAAATTAATGTTATACATAAATAAAAATTAATTGTTAAAAAAACAATTATGATTACAAAGATACAGATACGGATATATCTGTATCCGTATCTGTATCGGACGACTCTTCATTGAAGAGTCTTCAAATGACTCCACGCTTTTTTCGACATCGGCCCGTTGTTCGACATCGGTCCGTTGTTTGACATCGGCCTGTTGTTGTTCCGTTCCATTTATCTGTATGAAATTGTACAATACAAAGAACGTTTTTTTCTAAATGTAACATTACTCCTGCATATTAATATGACAACTTTATATATGTTGGCTGTTTTAGTTCTTTAGCTGGATTTATACCTACACTTACCTTTGATTATCAAACACAAACACAAATAATTACTTCCTCATGAAATTTTCCTGGTTTGTTCTATGATTTCCTTCTCGTCGCAGTATATATAAATTTTAGGGTTAGAAGCAGACTGTTAGAAGACTATTGCGCATGTGTAGTACACACAACATGTGTACTGTAATACGAGGGTATGTCGAATGATACCTACAGGTGTTAATAAAAAAGCTTTGTTAAATCTGAAATATGTAATTTCCGTGGTAACCAAACTTTCATAATATGATATTCAGCCGTATTCACTAAGCAAATTAATTTGCTTTTCGTCTTAGGTGCTGTATGGGTACATTTGTTTGAATTTATCTTAATTTCAAAATGACATAATTAACAATTATTAATAATTATAATTATAATTAATTATTATTGTTAATTGGGTCATTTTGTAATTAAGATAAATTCAAAGATGTAATTAAGGTAAATGCAAATAAATGTATACATCGCTATAGCGACTTAAGTCGCTATATACAAACATTTTTGTATATATGTATGATGCATCGCTATAGCGACTTTTTTTGACAGAATCTGGTAACACCTGCTGCAGCAGTACTGCGGTGGGATCCATGCTCACTTCACATAAATTCCCAGGTAACCAAACGTAACGAAAAAGTGACAGAAATTGTATGTATGTTTTCTTTATCGTCACGTGTATAATCGTCGAAACTATATCAATTTTAAACTCAAATTTTTCACAAAACCGCTCACCTGCCGTTATAACGTGATCGTCACGTTAGCGTTATCGTGATTTTAAACCGAATCGACATAACGTTTACGTGACGCTGTAATCGTTACTAAATCAACACGAAAATACAGTTATATTCGATTTTGAATTTGTGACCGTATCTTTAACCAGTGGCGGCTGGTGGATTTTTGGTATATATACCGGTATACCAATATCTCAGTTATTATACATAGGACCCAAACCAAACTTTTATGAGTTTATAATAATATTAAATTGAAGTTTGCAAAAAAAAATAATTTTTTTCAGCCCAGTCCCCTGCCCCCTAATTAAGATAATGCAAATTAAAGTGGTGCTATTAATAACTCAGTGCAGTTTATCGACAAATTTCAAAATTTATTTCAAATTCCAAGTAGATTTTATACCATTTAAACTTTTTTTTATCCTAAAAATGGTATAATATTTGTAATCTTGGATTTTTTAAATAAATTTTGAAATTTGTTATAAACTATAGTGAGTTATTAATTGCACCACCTTAATTTGAATCGTCTTAATTAGGGGGGCACGCTGAAAAACTTAATTTTTTCGCAACAATTTTTAATTTTATTACAACTTCATAAAAGTTTTGGGTCCCATGTCTAATAACTAAGATATCAGTATACCTCAAATCCCCCAGTCGCCACTAGTGACTAGTGACAGCTGTCTTTAACTAATCTGCTCAAGTCTCAGATTGCTGGAATTAGTCCTAAATTTTTACTATAGTAAGTTATAGCTATATGTATATTTTAAATAATTAAATAAGCACAAAACACTAAAATGGAACAGGTTTCAGAAGAATTTATGATTAATTAATAATAATACCTTTAACAAAACAATATATTTCTCAAACCAAATTATAAAAACAATAAAAAATAACTCTAAAAAATATATTCTTCTTCAAAAGGATAAAAACCAAATAAATAATTTTCTAAACAGCGCCGGATTATAAAAATTTGCGCCCCGGGTCTAATAAAAATTTTCCGCCCCTACCTATACAGGGTGTTTACGGTCTAGGGGTCGAAAATTGAACCGGCGGTGTAAGGTAATAAAGTAATGGTAGATTTGTTGGAATTTTGAAAAAAAAATCAATTATAAAAAAGTTATTAAAATTTAAATTTATTCAAAGTTTTGATACAACTTTTGAGGGTCATTGGTTTGATACGGGTGGAGACTTAAATAAAAAAACTGACAACAAAACGTTTCTTAAACAATAAAGAATAATGTCATGGATTTGAATACTTCAAAAAAAACTTTCTAATTCCGTCAAAAACTGAATTAATTTTGCAATGGCTCATGT